ATCACTTGCCATGCACATCACTAGCCATGCACATCACTAGCCATGCACATCACTAGCCATGCACATCACTAGCCATGCACATCACTTGCCATGCACATCACTAGCCATGCACATCACTAGCCATGGACATCACTTTCCATGCACATCACTTGCCATGGACATCACTAGCCATGCACATCACTAGCCATGCACATCACTTGCCATGCACATCACTAGCCATGCACATCACTTGCCATGCACATCACTAGCCATGCACATCACTTGCCATGCACATCACTAGCCATGCACATGACTTGCCATGCACATCACTAGCCATGCACATCACTAGCCATGCACATCACTTGCCATGCACATCACTAGCCATGCACATCACTTGCCATGCACATCACTAGCCATGCACATCACTAGCCATGCACATCACTAGCCATGCACATCACTTTCCATGCACATCACTAGCCATGCACATCACTTGCCATGCACATCACTAGCCATGCACATCACTAGCCATGCACATCACTTGCCATGCACATCACTAGCCATGCACATCACTTGCCATGGACATCACTAGCCATGCACATCACTAGCCATGCACATCACTTTCCATGCACATCACTAGCCATGCACATCACTTGCCATGCACATCACTAGCCATGCACATCACTTGCCATGCACATCACTAGCCATGCACATCACTAGCCATGCACATCACTAGCCATGCACATCACTTGCCATGCACATCACTAGCCATGCACATCACTTGCCATGCACATCACTAGCCATGCATATCACTAGCCATGCACATCACTAGCCATGCACATCACTTGCCATGCACACCACTAGCCATGCACACCACTAGCCATGCACACCACTAGCCATGCACATCACATCATTGCTCACCCCTTCCCTCCCCCCCTTCCCCCTCCACGCACTCACGCACTCACACTTCACTGGTGATGAATTCCAGTCGCTTCAGCAAGGCCTCTGCCAGGTCTTGGGGCATGCAATGAAATGCCACGCATGCAATGAAATGCCACGCATGCAATGAAATGCTATGCATGCAATGAAATGCCACGCATGCAATGAAATGCCATGCATGCAATGAAATGCCATGCATGCAATGAAATGCCAGGCACGGCATCGCCCCTGCACCCCCCCGTCCCACTTCCTCCCCTTCCCGCCCTCTCCACGCCCACACTCACACTTCACTGGATATGTATTCCAGCTGCTTCCCCACGTTGGCGCGGGACTCTGCCGCTTCCCCACGTTGGCGCGGGACTCTGCCAGGTCTTGTGGCACGAGCAGCCACTCAGCCTCCCCCCCCCTTTCCGCCCCCCTCCACAAACACACACACACACTTACACACGCACGCACACACTTACACACTCTCACACACTCACACTTCACTGGATATATATTCGAGCCGCTTCCCCACGTTGGCCCGCGCCTCTGCCAGGTCTTGAGGCACGAGAACAGGGCCGATCAGCTTGAACACCTTCGAATCTTCCTCTAGTAGATCCAGCTCCTGAAGGGAAGAGGGCGGGAGAAGGGACGGTTCAATTGAAGAGGCGAGGAGCAGTAGAATGGTGTTGAGGCACGTCGAGCACCGGGCCGATGAGATTGAACACCCTGGCGTCCTCCTCTTGTAGCTCCAGCTCCTGGCGAGGAGAGGGGTGGGAGAAGGGACGGTGGAGAGGAGAAGCGAGGGGCGGTTGAAGGGTCTCAAGTCTTGTGGCACGAGCACCTGGTCGATGAGTTTAAATTGAGCTGCACGTTCGAATCTTACTCAAAATTTTCAAGGGTTACAATTTTCACTAAGTGACTATCGTCTCCTTGCTAGTAAGATTTTCCTACTGCTGCCGTTCTTCATGAGCACTGACCAATCAGACTTGACCACCCTAATCAATTCTTCATGGGCGTCATCAGACTTGAACACCCTGGGCGTCATCAGACTTGATTATATTGTGCTCTAAGAGGAGCTCCGGATCTTGAAGAGGGGAGGAAGAGAAAGGGAGGTGCGGTGGGGGACTTTGAACTCTTGCTAGTATGATTCTTCCTACTGCTGCCCTTCTTCATGAGCACTGATCAATCAGACTTGACCACCCTGGCGTCTGATTGGCGTCTTGCTCTAAGAGGAGCTCCGGCTCCTGAAGGGGGGAGGAAGAGAAAGGGAGGTGGGGTGGGGGGGGCGGTTCATACCATCTCGTGTCATGACCACGACATGATGATCATAGCCCTTCAACATAATCACATCCCACCCACTACAATCACATTCCGATACAGTCTCATCTCAACACCACATTCCGTTACAGTCACACCTTATGCACCATGTTTTCACATCCCAGTACAACGTCGCTCAGCTTTAGGCCTCAAGTCAAGCCACAGCACATCGGGCGTACCCTCGTCCTCCCTGACCACCCATTATAATCACATCCCACTGTCACCAAATCCCGCTGTTAGCACATTCCCCATCCCATTCCGCTACAGTCACACACACCTTGTGCACCATCTCGTTCTCGTTCAGCTGCAGGCTGTACTGCCGCCGCACCTTGTGGTTGCGCGCGATGTCTGCCGCAGGAAGGGACGGGAAGGGGGAGGGGTGGGGGGAGGGGTGAGGGAAGATGAGGGGTGCAGGCTGTACTGCCGCCGCACCTTGTGGTTGCGCGCTATGTCTGCCAGGGGGAGACGAGGGAGGGGAAGGATGTGAGAGGGGGCGGGGGGGTGGTATGCTAGAGGTGTCTCCTCCACAGGCCTCAGCTGCAGGCTGTACTGCTGCCGCACCTTGTGGTTGCGCGCTATGTCTGCACGTGGGTAGGGAGGGGGAGGGGGGAAAGGGAGGGGGAGGGGGGAAAGGGAGGGGGAGGGAGAGGGCAGCGAGGAAGCGGGTGGGGGAAGAGAGGAGGTGCTAGGGGTGTGTTTTCGATTCTCAGCTGCAGGCTGTACTGCCGCGCCTTGTGGTTCCACGAGACGTCTGCACGTGACAGGGGATGGAGGGAAAAGGGCGACGCATTGCGGGAAAGGAGGGGGGACGGCGGAGAGGGGAAGCGGAGGGAGGAAAGGAGGGTTGGGGGGGGTGTGGTTAGGGATGTGGGGAAGAAAGGATGGGTGAAAGGGAGCTGAATGCCGTGTTAAATCTCACGTCATATCTGTAGAGAAGACGAAACGGAGCCATGGGAAGTTTCTCGCCTTGAAAGTTTCTCCGACCGCTCTTTGTGCGGCTGATTAATGGTCGAGATTCCATCAGAATCGCCTTCTCACCGAACGGCTAATTCCCCCCGTCGCCGTTTCCCCCTAATTGATAAGCGGAAATCCGAAGGATCTGCTGCGAACCTAGATTGTAGCCCTTACCCTTCTCTAGAGACCGCAGCGCGTTCACCTCTGCCTCCAGCTGCTGCTGCAACTCTCGCATCGCCACCGCCATAATTCTCCCGCAACGCTGACGAGTTGTGAGTCGACTCGAAAGTGATTCTCCCGCAACGTTGACGAGCCGATTCAACAACGACCGCTCCTTCGGTTCCGTCGCAAAATCTGCTGCGAAAAAAATCAGCAAACGCTATTTGCGAATCTGCGGCTGAACAGGGAGTGAATGGAAGGGACGTTGGCTGTGGTCGTGAAAGGATGGAGCTTCGACATCATCAGATGCTGAGTACTGTTTATGAACACTTGGCAGGGTGTTCTCGAGATTAGTACAAATGCGGCTCGATGGGTGATAAGAGGTTTCAGAGTGGTGCAAAAGGGTCTGTGTAGCACAGAATTCCAACGACAGACTTCACTTCGAATGTGACGAAGTTCGCAGAAGAAATCGTTACAATTTCGCCAGGGGTAATTCTGGAGCTATCTTTTTGTTTTGTAAGCCGAAAAAACTCGTTGCGGCGAACGGATGAGAGGGTAACCACAAATGGGCGCAATTCTTCGTCAAGCAGCAAGGCCCACTGACTCAGAAAGCCATGGCTGAGGATTTCATGCAGCATGGCAGCCATGGCTTGCTGATTCAGCCCACACGCACTTCAGCTGATCTCATGTCCACGGTCATACCACCGATGCGCTGGGTCGTTCGTCCCGCGATCCCATCTCTCTGATCTCAACTTGTCTTTCGCTTCGAGAAAGTAATCCGTCGATCTAATCCATTCCTGATTCCTCCCTTTTGAGAGGCGACTCAAGTTTAGTCGATCTTATCCACGCCCTGATTCCTCGCCGCGATTCATTCTCGCCTGGATTCCATCCATACTAAGGTAATCCGGTGGGACGGGCGTAGTTAATCTGCTGCGGCGAAAGGCGCAAGGGTAATCGAGCGGAAGGGGCTTTATTCTGCTGCGTGTTCGGCCAGCCACAGCGGATGAGGCGCATGTTGTTTTTGAGAACTCTAAAAAGCACCCTGAGATGACTTTTGAGTCAACTCCAAGGTCGTTCCGGCCATAGATCCTCGCGCCGCCAGTGCGTTTTAGTCATCGCTAGTTTACATGTTTTGTCTTTCCTCGGTTCTCATGCAAGTATTGATGTAGTTTTAGGTGTAGATTACAGTCTGAGCCAGTTCCACCCCATTCGAGCGCGTTTCAGCCATGAATCCCGCGCCGTTAGGTCGAACTGCGAGCCGGCCGGCAGCGCTGGGTCGCGTGGGGCGAATCCGGCTGCTGCTGGTCGCTCTGGGCGGCGCGATGATCCTCTCGGGCCTCCGATTCGTCAATCGCACGACGAACCTCGTCGCGCCCGCCAGCGACGAATTCGCGAATTTCACGAGTTTCGGCGAACGATTGCGGGACGACTCCTCACGACCTGCGACGTCGTCAGTCGCGTCCTCTTCCTCCTCCTCCTCCACTGACATCTCTTCCGATACAAGCACATCTTCCGCATCATCGTCCGCGTCGTCAACCCCCACTTTGTCTCTCAACGATCCCTCGTTACAGTCACAACCAATCGCAGCCGTTCCAACCACTCCGAATACCTCTCAACCGGAGCAAATCCCCGCCGTCGGATCGCCTGAAAACGGATTTCAAATCTCTGGAATGGCAGTCCGTCCCCCTCCGTCAAAAGATAATACACAAGAAGCCGGTAGCAACCAGAGTGGTACGGCGGAAGACCCGGTATTGGCGCTGCAGCGTGCGGTGAAGCCTGAGGGGATCAAGTGGCCGCTGCTCGCCGTCACACCCACCCACGCGCGCGCCATGCAGGTGGGTGGGATTTGTCTGTCTCGCTATAAGGCGCCTCAGAACAACCCTGCTGTTTGAAAACGCTGTGCCGGGTCTAGATTGCCTTGTAAACAAGTGGTTGCTGCTGGCAGTCACGCCCACAAACGCGCGCGCCATGCAGGTGGGTGGTGCGAGGCTGAAATAATTTTCGAGAATTCTCAAAAGTGATTGCAGGTGGATGGCACGAGGCCCACATCCTCCCCTCTCTTCCCGCTCTGCGCGCGCGTCGTTTCTCCCCTTTCACACGCCCACCAGGTGGTCTACTTCTTTTGTCTGGCCGCCTATTTCTCCCCCCTCCGCCTCCACCCTTCCCCTTTCCCCTCATCCCCCCCTCCCCCTTCTCCCCCCCACCAGGTGCTCTACTTCATCCGCCTTGCCGCCTATCTGTGATCGCTGGGACCGCTGGTGTTTCTTCCCCTTACCCCTCCCCTCTTCCCTTCCGCTTCCCTTCCCCCCTTCCCCCCCCCCTCCTTCCCCTAACCCTCTCTCCCCTCCCACCGGGTGGTTTACTTCATCCGCCTGGCCGCCAATCTGCGCTCTTAGAGGCGCCACTCTTATCCCTCCCGTAGACATGAGCACAAGGGCGAACACGTGTTCGAGGCGAACCGAACAGGTTTGTTTTTTTTGCTTAAATTGTTCGCCGAACAGTGTTCGAGGTTCGCCCGAACACGTTCTTGTTCGGGCCGCTGCTGCAATTTGCCCCGCGACGAACACGAATGTGTTCGAGGTTCGCCCGAACACGCCTTCACAGGCGAACGGCGAACACGTGTATTTGCTTAAAGTGTTCGCCGAACCGAACAGTGTTCGGTTCGGCAAACGGATGTGTTCGTGTAGGGGCGAACACGAACTCTCGTGTTCGCCCCTTGCTCATCCCTACCCTCCCGCTTATCCTTCCCCTCTCCCATTCCCCTTGCTTCCCCCCCTCCCACCCCCCACCAGGTCGTCTACTTCATCCGCCTGCCCGCCAATCTGAGCTCTTAGAGCCACTCCTGTTCCCCCCACTTACCCGCCCTTCCCCCCTTTCCCCTTCCCCCTCCCCCTTCCCACTGCCCCCCCACCAGGTCGTTTACTTCATCCGCCTGGCCGCCTATCTGCGCTCCTCTGAGTCGCCACTCTTATTCAATCCCCTTGTCAGGCCGTTCCCGTCCCTCCTCCTTACCCTCCCTTCAACCCCATCCCCTCCCTTCCCCCCATCCCTCCCCCCATCCCTCCCCCCATCCCTCCCCCCATCCCTCCCCCCATCCCTCCCCCCACGCCCACCAGGTGCTCTACTTCATCCGCCTGCCCGCCTATCTGCTTTCTTTTGGCAGCCAATCCCATTCCTCCCCCATTCCCCCCCTTCCCCTGTCCTCTCCCCCTTTCCCCCCTCCCCTCTTCCCCCCCCACCAGGTGGTCTACTTCATTCCCCTGGCCGCCCCTCTGCGCTTGCTGGGACCGCTGTTGCCCCTCTCCCTCCCTTACCCCTCCTCTCTCTCTCCTTCGCTCTCTGAGCCGCCACTCTTATTGTGTCCCTTGCCTCCCACCTCCCCTACTCCCCCCCCCCCACCAGGTGGTCTACTCCATCCGCCCACCCGACCAACCCTCCCCCTTCCCCTCTTCCACCCCCCTCTCCCCTCCCACCGGGTGGTCTACTTTTGCGTTCTCTGAGCCGCCACTCTTATTGTGTCCCCTTACCTCCCACCTCCACTCCTCTCCCCTCACCAGGTGGTCTACTTCATCCGCCTGGCCGCCTATCTGCTCTTAGAACCACGCCCGTCCACTCCCCTCGTACTTTCCCCTCCGTCTTCCCTCCTCTCCCCCCCCACCAGGTGGTCTACTTCATCCGCCTGGCCGCCTATCTGCGCTCGCTGGGACCGCTGGTGCTCTGGATAGTCATAGAGGCGCCTCTTAAGGTACAGTGCGGTATCCAAACCTTTTGAGACGTCGCAAAAATCCTCTCTATGTACAGTTCTTTATCCAAACCTTGGAATGACCTTGTTTACATTGGGGAACCTTGGTGCTCGGGGTGGTCATGTAAGGCGCCTCTTAAGGTACAACAGTACAGTCCTGCATCTGAACCTCGGAAAGGCCACACTTAAGGTGCTTAAATCAAGCAAGGTAGAACACTTTTGGTCGATGCTTAACGGTGTATTATTATCATCCCTTTTTGTTTTGTTGTTAAAGAGAGAAATTCTTAAGAGTTATCACACGTTCTCTTGCCTTGTTTTCATTTCACTCTTTAAACTGCTCCAACCTTCTTTGCACCCTCCTTCAACCCTCTCCTCTCCATCCCCATTAACTTCAAACCCTCTCCAACCCCTTTTCACTCTGCTCCACCCTCCCCTCATGCCTTTCTGGGAAGACAGAGGAGACAGCAGATTTGTGGAGGTTGCATTGCATGCAGAATGATCCCCTCCAACCCGTGCTATCCGAACCTCTCCACTCCTCTCCACCCCTCTTCAACCCTGTCCACTCTCTTAAAACCCCTTCAACCCCTCTCAATCCTTCTCCACCCTCCTCAACGCCTCCCCGGGAGGACAGAGGAGACGGCGGAGCTACTGAAGCAGCATGCGGGGGTATGCCTGCCAGCTGGCGACTCCACCTCTCCACCCATGTCGACCCCTGTCCGCCCTCTCAACTCCCCTTGAAAACCTCTCCACCCCTGTCTTCCCTTGTGAACCCCTTTCAACCCCTCTCCACCCCTGTCTAACCCCTTCTCCCATGCCTCCCCGGGAAGACAGAGGAGACGGCGGAGCTGCTGAAGAAGCATGCGGGGGCGTGCCTGCCAGCCGGTGACTCCAGCTGTCGGCGAATCAACTACGTCCACCTGGAAACCCGCCGGGTGAGAGGCGCTTGAGCTGCGTGCTCCAGTTCTGTTTTGTTCCGTTTTTTTTATTGATTTTTATTTTGTTTTGTCCAAAAAAGATGCAACTCTTGTACTTGACTGTTTCCTTGCACCATTATCAACACCATTGATTCACTCCTGCCTTCATTCTCACAGCTCTCCCATTGCATGCATACCTGTCTGTCACCATTCCATTCAGTTCCATACCATGCATGCACCATCAGGTGGAGACGTCCAAGTGGAGCAAGGTAGTGCTACAGCATTTGAGCTTCCCTTGTGCTTTCATTCTTACGTTCTCATCATGCGATGCCATGCATGCACCATCATCATCACCATCAGGTGGAGACGTCCAAGTGGAGAAAGGCAGTGCTACAGCATTAAAGTTCTCCTCCTGCATACATTCTCACCTTCTCATTACTGAATGCATGCCTAACCTATGTGGAGAAAGACGCGTCCAGCGTCCTGGACGCATGCGTCCAGACGCTGGACGCTAGTTTAGGGCCCCCGAGACGCAGCAAAAGACGCAGGTCCGGGCAGCCAAAAAAAACCCCCCGGGTAGCCAAAAAAAAAGTTATAGGGCAGAGGGAAGAGGGGGTAAGAGGGGGGGGGGGGGGGGGGAACACACTTTCATAGCAAAATTTCTCCTCAACAACAAAATTTCAGCCACAACAATAGAACATGAAGGTGAGCCCCAAATTTCCATAATCACAATTAGTCCAAGGGTTGTTTAGCATGCATGCATACTACCACTAACTAACATGCATCACTCATCCTCCTCGCTCTCCATCCCCTTCTCCTCCTCCTTCTCCAAATCCTCCTGCTCCTTGTACTCGTCGAAGGTGAGGTCATCCTCATCCACCTCCACCTCTCCATCCTCCTCAAGCTTGTACCCCTCGGGAAGGGGTCGGGGGGGAATGTTCCCCTCCACTATTCCCGCCTTCCTGACTTCCCCACTCGGCCCCGCACCCGCCGCACCCTTGTGGTGGTTGTGCACAACGTTCCAGTTGTGCGCAACGAACACAAGGTCGCGAACACAAGGAGCTAGCCATAACGGTGGTGCGCGGAAAGGAGCTAAAACCACTAGGGTTTTTGAAAGAGAATTGGGTTGTGAGAAAAGGGAGCACAAATGAGAGGTTTCATGAACTAAATGGGCTTTGTGGGGGTGGTGGACCACAAAGGTTGGGTTTCCTAGTTGTGGAGTGGTGGAGAGGGGTTGGATTTCCAAATCAATTTTGCAAAAAGGGGAGGGGGTTAGGGGTGAATTAGATGGCTGGTTTTGGGGGTCGAATTTGCTTGGGGGGTGTCGAATTTCGGCGAAATTGACATTCGCGACGAAATCGCGAATGTCAATTTCGCGATCGCGAAAAAAAAAAAAAAAAATCTCGGTCTGCCCGAAAAATTTTCCAGGGTGCGTCCTGCGTCCGGACGCGCGTCCTGCGGCGTCCGGACGCAGGACGCAGGGCTGCCCCAGCGTCTTTCTCCACATAGTGCCTAACATCATTCCATACCATGCCATGCATGCACCATCGGGTGGAACAAGGCAGTGCTGCGGCATTGGTCAGCGATGTCCTGATGCCTCCATTCTCACGTGCCCATCATTTTACTGTGTGCATGCATCATCACCACCAGGTGGAGACGTCCAAGTGGAACAAGGCAGTGCTGTTGTGTCATCAACGATCTTCTCATGTTTACATTTCTCACATTCAGTTCCATTCCATTGCACCGTTATCACCATCACACACCTGTCATCATTCCCTTGCACGCACCATCATCACCATCAGGCGGAGACGTCCAAGTGGAACAAGGCAGTGCTGCAGCGCAACACTGCCCTTGATTTCATTCAGGAGAGGCGCATTCAGGGCGTTGTCTATTTCATGGACGATGACAACGCGTACCTTCCCCAGGTAAAGCCTTTGAGGCAGCAAGTACCTTCCCCAGGTAAAGCCTTTGAGGTAGCGAGTACCTCCCTTTGGTGATGCTTTCTAAGATCTACTGAAGTCCTCTGGTGATTCAAAAGCCGCATGCCGACTTCATTCAGAAAAGGCGGCTTCACAGCGTCGTCTATTTCAGGTGGGTGGGACAGTACTGAGAAATGACTGTAATGCAAAAAAAGTGGATTGCGAACTGGTTATTGCGGAGTGATTGCACTCCATGTCTCTGTCAAAATCCGTGAAGAGGAATGATGAATGACTAGCAACATGTGGGTACAAGTACGAAACCATAACTGGGGTTGTACTCTATACTGAGCACCTCACTGTAGCCTATCAAAACTAAGAACATATAAATATGTTTTGACACACCCCCATAGGCAAACTGAGGGATAGCCAACACAACAAATGGTCACAAGACCAGTAAGGCAAGAGAACAAAGCAATGCAAAGCTCAGGGTGGATCTCAAGATCACCACTCATTCTAAGCACAAGCAAGCGGCCATAAAGCCAGTTCACATGCAAAGGTATAATAGCAAAGCAGTACATTGATCACAACCTAGCAAGAGGAAACATGCAGGTATAAATATAGATATCAGTGTACAACAAGTGCAAGGTCAAGAGACAAGCAGGTGAGGCAGAACGGGCAGAAACCCAAGAGCAGTGCAAAAGCGCCGATGATCACCAGACCCAAGGGCCTTGGTGAAGACATCAGCAGTGTTGGCCCGAGAGGCCACGTAAGCAAGGCGCAGCTGACCACGCTGCTGCAACTTCTAAGCAAAAAAATAATGAACAGCAATGTGCTTCGTTCTGTGCTCCAGTCTCTGCTCCTCACGCAAGGCAGTCATGGCCTTGTTGTCGACGTACAGAACCGGAGGAGAAGGAAGCCGCTCACCCAAGTCAGTTAGCAGGTAGGTCAGCCAGCGTAACTCCTGTGCAGCTATGGCCAGAGCGTAGATCTCGGCCTCACAGCTGGAACCAAGCACAGAAGCCGAATGAGTGGACCTCCAAGAGACAGAACCATAACCGAAACTGATAGAATAACCCTGTGACGATCGCTGAGTCGCCTAGTCATCGGCCCAAGAAGCGTCGGAGTGTCCTGTGAGTACCACTGAACCCCGTCCTCCAAGCACAAGCCCCATGCCCGATGTACTGCACAAGTAACGGAGTACCCTCTGCGCAGCTGTCCAGTGCTCCTTCCTGTGTCGCCCGGGCGCGACGAAGCGAGCAAGGATTCTGAGAGGGTACGCAAGGTCAGGTCGTGTGCACGTCATCAGGTACATGAGGCAGCCAACAAGCTTTGGATACGGGCCACTCGGCTCTTTGGACTCGTCCGAAGGTGGAGCTGAGAGCGAGTGGTTTGTAGGCAGAGCACTGCGCTGTGGCGAGGAGAACTGAAAGCCGAAGCGTTGAAGGACCTGCTGCACCATGTGTGACCGAGTCATAGTGATGGTGCGCCTTGCTCTGTCCCGGGTGATCTGCAAGCCCATTATAGCTATGCAACTCGCCCAGGTCAGTGCAAGTGTGTCTGTGCTGCAGCTCCGCCTTCACAAGGGTCAGCGCCTCAGTGTCGGCAGTAGCAAAGACGTCGACGTACACGAGGATGTAGAATGGCGGCAGAGTAGGGGCGGCGTGCAGAAACAGCGACGGGTCAGCAGTCGAAGGAGCAAACCCAAGAGCCGCAAGTGTAGTCCTCAGTGTGTCGTTCCAGTCGCGAGGCGCCTGGCGGAGACTGTAGACTAGCCGCCGGAGGCTGCACTGGGTATCCTCAGGAAACGACCCAGTGAAACCGGGTGGGCGGGGCAGTCAAATCTCGTCGTGAAAGCTGCCCTGCAAGAAAGCTGTGAAGAAATCGAGGGAGTGCAGCTCGTAGTCACGCTGTGCTGCAACGTGCAGCAACACCCGAAGAGTAGTCATCTCGTGGTGGGGGAGAAAGTCTGGAAGAAGTCGACCCTGTTAACGGGAGTGGAGTGTTGGCCTCGCCCTCGCTTGGGCAACGCCGACGACTTGGTCAGATGTACGGGAGTAGCAGCCGACCGTTCACAGTGGGAGAGGTGCTCGACAGGCTTCGTCGAGCTGCAGGGGACGGCTGTGGTGTTGCTATCGACCAGGGAGCTCAATAGTTGCAACTGACTGGTCTGGGCAACGGGTGGGTCGTCGACCAGGATGGACAGTTCGACCGGGAGGTCGACGGAGCAGTCCATCGACCTGCAGTTCGACCGGGAGGTCAATGGAGCAGTCCGTTGACCTGACAAGTGAGCAGCGGTTGACGAGGGGAGCTCGACAACAACAGCTGACAGTTCTGGTCGACAGAATGGGTCCATCGACCAGGGGGGTAGCTCGACGGGAGCTGTGGTCGACCAGTGACACCTGGTGGTCGACCAGAGGGACCCGGTGGTCGACCAAAGGCACTTGGTGGTCGACCAAAGCACTTGGGGGTTGTCCAGGTTGAGCGGGTAACATGCTCGACGAGTTCTGCGGAGGCACGCGAACGTCGTCGATGTCGCGATGGCGAAGGCGACTTCGGGTTGGTATCCGGAAGTCGATGTGGCTCGTCAGGCGCAGACAACAGCCGACAGATGCACAACGGTGCAAGTCGGGCCAATCGTCTGCGCGCACCTGCGAGCGTGCGCACTGCTGTCTTCTACGGGGCAACGCTGGACAGTCGCTCTGCTGCAGCGTTGGCACACCGTCGACCTGCTGTGTTGGCAGGTCGCCTTTCTGCAGTGCTGGCGCGGCTCCTCTACGCAACGCTGGCGGGCGGTCGACCATGCTGTGCTGTCGGTTGACCAGGCTAGCTGCAGAGTTGCTAGGTGCCTGATGTAGTCATTGTTGTCATTGCTTGTCCAATCTTTCTTGAATGTATACTTTGCTAGTGAAAACGCTTGCCGATTTCTCCCGTGATTGTGCAAGCACTAAGGAACTAAGCAAAGCTACGATCACTCCTAGTAGTTCATGCCAACCACCGTAGTCTAGCTCACTACCGTTGTAGAGTGAATCTCCGCAGACCCCCTGTCGCTGACTGAAATCTCGAGCAACGTAACGCGCCTTGAAGGCAGGTGGAGAACCCGGCGATCGCCTCACCCTGAAAATCCACATGCCATCGACGATGTTCGCCCCAGGAGGAGGAACTTCATCAAGGTAGGTGCCTGTGGACTTCCAGGAAGCCATCTCTGCGTCCATGGCTGTCTGCCACTGAGAGGAGTACTCACCCGCGATCGCCTCAGCGTTAGAGCGCGGGTAGGGATGTCAAGTGCATCCGGGTCTCCCTCAGGGCAAAGCAGCATGGATGCGAAACGAGGCAAAGCGATCGCAAAACACTCAAACTCAAACTGTCTGTCTTCAAGGACTTCACTGCTAAGGACAAGCCATGGACGGAGGACAGACAGACTCAGACTTAGTAACAAGACTCGCGACGAAGTCGAGACGACTCCTAGCTGCAAAGTCAACTAGCTCAGTGACTAGGGCAAACGCAGCAGTAGACTCAAAGTCAGGGTCAGTGACGACAATAGCGAGGAGACGAGTGACAGTATGACTGGTTGCACGAGCAAGGTCGGACTCAGGGTCAGGAACGTGCTGAAGAGAGGACGCGAAGGCTCAGGCAGGACAACACGCTGTGGAACAGTGAAACAAAGTGCCATACCGTGAGTGCATGGGACAGCAGGAGGACGAGGACGGGCAACACGACGAGCACGAACAGGTGTGGAAGCACGAGTCTCATGCTCACAACACTCAGTCAGGGACTCGGTCACCTCAGTGTGAGGAGCAGGAGCTGGTAGCGGGGAGCCATGCAGTAGCTGTGGCTGAGACTGGTCTGGCAGTGGACACAGGAGAGGTAGAGTGAGGCAAGTTGAAGACAGGAGACTAAGAACCTGTAGGGACGACTACGACTGCGTCTAGGTAACTCCAAGCTTCAGCACCAGAGCAGCCTCGCAGAACGACCCACTCACGAAGCTGTTGCGGTGAGAGTGTCTCGAGTCGTGGATGCTGCTGCTGTCCAACACCAGGACCTGCAGCAGGAGCACCCACGGCCCCTCCACCACTAGGACTCGTAGCACCCCCATTTTCAGCCCCCCTAGTCTCAGCACCCCCAGTCTCAGCACCCCTTGGACCAGCACCTCCAGCGTCCTCACCTCCAGTGTCACCACCCCGAGCAGCACCAGTGTCTAGAGCTACAGGCTGCAGAGCTGGTGAAGACGATCGAGGCGGAAAACCAGGAGGGGTCTCCAAGCGTGGAGAGCGACGAGTGGCCGCCGTGTTGTCAGCGGCAAGGTCACCCCCCTCAGTCGGGCCAGTGGAGTCAGAAGAGATCTCCAAAAGCTCAACCAAGGAGGGTGGGTCTACTTGAGACCCACTGAGGGAGCAGGACCCTGTACGGGAAGGGGGTCTACCGGGGGGGAAACTGGTACCAGGAAGAGAGGCGCCAGGGGGACTGGGTGGGACGCGTGCGGGTGTAGCCTGTAGGAACAGACCGACTCGTCAAAGGTGACGTCCTAGGAGGAGAACACGCGACGCGAGCGAGGGTAGTAAAACTGCCACGGCGGGGCGTCGGTGGGGAAGCCCACGAAGGCGCAGCGGAGAGTGCGAGGAGAGAGATTTCTCACGGTGGTATCGCGAACAAGGGAGAGCGCGCCCCAGACCCGAAACGCCGACGCATCGCCAACCTTTCCCGTCCAACGGAGTGTGGGCAAGGTTTCTAGCAAGAGACACGGGGCGAGAGGTTGAGCTGATACGCGGCGTGTCGGACCGCAAACGGTCACAAAAATGGGGAGCAGCCGCATGGATCATGGAGGTACGAGCAACCTTCATGATCAAGCCAGTGCGACGCTCAGCAATCCCATTTTGCTGCGAAGAGTCCGGAAGCGTGAACGATTGAATGATGCCCTCGTCTCGACAGAACCTCGCAAGGAGGCCGGAAGAGAACTCACTATCCCTGGTAGAGAGCAGGCGCAGGACTGGAAGGTCCCGCCAAGACCGTTTGCGCAGCTGGTGACGAGTAGCGCGGATCCAGCGGATCAAAACACCGCTGACGTCCGCCTTGCTGCGCGAGGAGAAGACCGTGTTGTAGCGCGTGTAGTCGTCAACGACCAGTAGAAAGTAGCGCTCCTGGTCCGTCCCACAGACAGGGGCCTGGCCCCACAAGTCCATGTGGAGAGTCTGCAGAGGAGCAGTGGTCGGAAGAAACGAGGAGGAGTGAGGAGCGGCGTGCTGCCGCCCCTCGATGCAGGGAAGGCACGGCAGGGCAGGCGAGCGCGGGAGGGGGGCAGGGACCTGGGAAGGCCAGAGATAAGGAGACGGGAGTGCGTGCTGCAGAGACCTATGTTGCACTATACGCGATTGGCGTACCAATCGCGTTCGTACTATACGCCAATGTACGAACGTCGTACGATGGATTTCCGGCCCCTCGATACGCTCAAAATACAGTCCCGGGCAGGGGAAAAAAGTTCCAAACAGGGGTAAAAAGTGCCAGGGAGTGAGTGATGGTCCCTATATTCAATGTTTCTTCCCGATCTGCGCCGATCTGCTGGCGGAATACTAGAATCGCGCGGATCCGCTGGCGGAATACTAGAATCGCGCGGATCTAGCGGCGGAATGCCAGATCTGCGCCCCTCTGCCTACTTGCGTCCAGCTACGACATTAGCGATCGACATAGGTTTTCGAAGCTGACGATGTGAAAGCCAAAGTGTGGTTAGAAGGGTAGAGTTGGGTTTGGGAGGTGGTGTGAGGTTATGTGCGGTGGAAGGGAGGGGTGGGTGCGGGGGAAGGCTTTCGACACAAATTTCAAAATTAGGTTACGTAGAATCACAAATCGCGAGAACGGTCGCAACAGATTTTTTCTTTTTTCGACGGGCTGCCCGTCCAAACGTATTGCGTATTTGTCCTCGTATCACGTTTTTCCGTTTATACGTGAGCGCACAAACGTGATACGAAAAAAGCCCTCAACGTATAGTGCAACATAGGCGGAGACGCGGCAGAGAGGGGTGATCGAGTCGGCGGTGCCAGAGAAGAGTTTGGTGGGAGAGTACCCGACACGAGCACGATGCAGCGAACTGACCAGATGCAGACACCTGACTCGACGCAGCCACATGACCAAACGCATTGGTCAGGGTGTAGAGACTGTACCCAGGATGCCGAGTGAACGTAACAAAGTGACGTCTAGTTTGGGAGCACGTAGAGATCGCCACACGCTGCTCCCATGGATAAAGGTATCAACCCAAACATCCTGAAGGACTGCGTTGCTCACCAAGTTCGTCGAGAACGAGGGGAGGTGGAGGCCTGAAAGAGAGCCGGAGGGGACTGCCGGATACGGGAGGACAGTAGAGGCTCGTGCGACAACGGGGCCCCTAGAGGGGTCAGCCAGTGAGACTGGGACAGGTTCAGCAAATGGTGTGACTGTGGTGCAATCACGAAAGAATCAACGAGATGCGCCAGAGTCAAGTGTGAAAGTTTGCAAGGCATCAGGTGAGGCAGCAGACTCACTAGCATCTGTGGCAGCAGACGCACTAGCACCTAGAGCGGCAGCAGACTCACTAGCACCTAGAGCAGCAGCCTCTGCACAACCAAGGACGCATCGCTGAGAAACCACCTCGCAAAGCTGCTGCTGCGAGAGGGTCGTCTGCTGATGCTGCTGCAGCTGCTGTATAGGATGGGTAAAACCAAGACCTCCAACACCAGCAGTGGCTCGCTGAATAACCCACTCACGAAGGTGCTGCGGGGAGAGAGTCTCCGGGGCACTAGACTGCCGCTGCTGTCGAGTACCTCCAGGAACATATCCTCCACCACCAGGACGGCCTCGCTGAATAACCCACTCACGAAGCTGCTGCGGCGATAGAGTATCCGGGTGAGGTAGCTGCTGCTGTCTACCGACAGACGCTGCTACGGCCGTGACAGTGGCCACGACAGGCAGTGGCAGTCAGTCGCAGCGGCGCAAGGGCGTCAGAAGCGATTGCTGTAGCTGCAGCTGTAGCAGTAGCGGTAGTCGCTGTAGTGGCAGGGCAGCTGCACGGGCTGCAGGGCAGGGCAGCGTGCAGGTTGCAAGGCATGGCAACGCGCGAGCTGCAGGGCAGGGCAGCGCATGGTCTGCAAGGCAGGGCGGCGCGCGGGCTGCAGGGCAGGGCGGCGCGCGGGCTGCAGTGCAGGGCAGAGCGCAGGGCAGGGCAGCGCGCAGCAAGCAAGGCAGCGCGCGGCGAGCAGGGCAGCGCACGACGGCAGCAGCTCCTGGGGCAGTACGTACGGTTGGTGGGCCCTAACGGAGCGGTCCTACGGAGGGACCTGCTCTGATATCATGTCAGAATCTGTGAAGAGGAATGATGAATGACTAGCAACATGTGGGTACAAGTATGAAACCCTAACTGGGGTTGTACTCTATATTGAGCACCTCACTGTAGCCTAGCAGAACTAAGAACATACAAATATGTTTTGACAGTCTCTTGCGTCTACATACGACTAGGGCACTTCACATATGACTGCCCTATGTAGAGGAGAGGAAGATTTCAGGCATACTAAATTCTGGAAAATAAATCAAGCATATTCCATAAATTGTTATGGCCTACCCCGTTCTTCCTGTATTCTTTTTAAGTTCTTTCTTTGGTTTTTATATCTTTTTGTTTCCATCGGGACTCTCGATTTGCTTATGCTGGTTGAGTTTTGTCCTAGTTCATTTTATTCCCAAAAGGGTTTTCTTTTTATTTATTTAGTCAACTCAGACATTCCTCTTCAGCACAAAATCCTGACACTCGTTTCTGCCTCCCCTGACATTCTCTTCACGCGTTTCTTTTCAATTCGTTTTTCCTTTTCACAGACTCAGCTATTTCTCGAGTTCCAGAGCATCCAAAACGGTTCTCCCATGTTCTTTTTATTTATATACCATTTTTGCTTTCCCATGCTTTCCCATGCTTCCCCGTGCTTTCCCATGCTTTCCATGCTTTCCCACAAGCCCAGCTCTTTCTTGAGTTCCAGAGCATCCAAAACGTGGGTGTTTTCCCCGTCGTCTCTGATGCTTTAGTTTGCCTTAAGCTCTCCTCTCTTCTATTCTGTTGCGTTTTCACAACCCCAGCTCTTTCTAGAGTTTCAAAGCATCCGGAACGTGGGTGTTTTCCCCGTCGGCTTCCTCTACCCGGACGAATACTCGAGGCGGAACCGGCATGTACACCACACGCCGACAGTAGAGAGGCCGCTTGTAAAAAGGACGGAGAGCGGGGGTCTGCAGGTGTATGGATGGGAGACGTTTGAGTGGTTTATCTCCAAGGCCAAGCGGAAGTTCAATGTTGACATGGGGGGGTTTGCGTTCCGGTGAGTCTTGTGAGTGGTAGAAGAGAGGCTGCTTGTAATGCGGATGGATGAAGAGGGGAGAAAAAGGGAGCCTGCAAGTGTGTGGATGGGAGACGCTTGAGTGGATCATCTGAAAGGCCAAGCGGAAGTTCAATGCTGACATGGGGGGGGTTGCGTTCCGGTGAGTCTTTTTTTTTAGGTGTTTGAGTGGATCATCTGACAGGCCAAGCGGAAGTTCAACGCTGACACACTCCTACCACGCATTGCTGGTGCCACTTTTGAGGATTCTCAAAAGTGATCCTTTTTCTTCTTCTCCCTCTCTTCCGCCCGACCCTTCCTCCTCCCCTATTGCATGGTCTTTGCAGCTCTGAGCTGCTCTGGCAGAACCGCACAGACCTTCTGGGCTACCCGCACCACCCTGTGTATCCTTTTCCCTTGTACTCCCCTCCCCTTCCCCCCCCTCCCCCTCTGATTCCCTCTTTCCCTGTCTTCCCAGCTCCGAGCTGCTCTGGCAGAACCGTACGGACCTGCCGGGCTACCCGCACCACCCGCTCCGCTTCGAAGCCAGCTGGCAAGGGTCAGTCGCCCCCATGAGTAGTGCATGTTTAGTCGCTCGCACTCATGATCAGTGCATGATCATTTCCCACTCGCTGCCCTTTAGTGTCATGACTCAAAGCCACCCGCTCAGCTTCGAAGCCAGCTGGCAAGGATCAGTCGCCCCCATGAGTAGTACATGTTTGTTGCCTGCCCTTTCCCTGCCCCCTGCCCTGCCCTTTCCCTGCCCCCTGCCCTGCCCTTTCCCTGCCCCCTCCCTGCCCTTTCCCTGCCCCCTGCCCTGCCCTTTCCCTGCCCCCTCCCTGCCCTTTCCCTGCCCCCTCCCTGCCCTTTCCCTGCCCCCTCCCTGCCCCCTGCCTTGCCCCCTGCCTTGCCTCCTCCCTGCCCCCTGCCCTGCCACCTTCGTCCCCCTCCGCGTCCCCTTCCTGCTGGCATGAATAGTACATGACTATTGTCCCCTTCGTGCCCCCTCCCCCACCTCCTCCCTGTCCTTCCCTCCCTGCCCCTGCTGTTATGTTCCACATGCCACTTGTCCAAATGTGCCGCTTGTGATTTTGCACCTTGTCAGACGAACCTAATGTTCCTCTCTTGTTACTCTGCTTCTTGGTTGTGATTTTTTATACTGACCATATAAGCAGCCAATTGGAAGCGACGTTTTTGAGCCGGTTGGTTCCAGATGCAAGTCACTTGGAGCCGCTAGCAAACGGATGCACGCAAGTGCTGGTGTGGCACCTTCATGTGGAGGCGAATCGACAACACACGTACCCTATTGGCTGGAGAGTGCCTCAACCCGTTGACCTTGAACCTGCGGATGAATATGACACATGGCGGTTTATTATTGGTAGGAAGAGGCACCGGATTAGGGGTCTAGGCCCGAAGGACATGCCGTTTACTTACAGACCATAAATGGTGAGAGGCAGGTTGCTTGATGCCTTGCTCTTAGTGCTTGGATTCCTTGCAAATGAATTTTGTCTGGTGAAATTCCTTCCTCTCTCATCAGCCTTCAATCCTGAGGCTCCTAATCTTATAGCGGGGTCGTTTCCACGAGACAAGCACGGTTCAGCCCTTGGCTGTTCTCATCGCTTGGCTCATCTCATCAACACCAGTAACAGCACGTCACAATGGTCATGATTGACGTGGCTCGTGCTGTATGTGGTAAATTTTGAATGATCCAGTTGGCGCTTCTCAAATGTTTGACGGCTCCATCCAAAAGTGTGTTGGCAGGTGATGCCGCAGTTTGGCTCGAGTTACTGAAAATGCGCCGGTAATTCGGGAAGAACCGAGCCGTGACATCTGCGGGCTTGAACCTTCAGTCACAACAACCGTGTCGCGTCACGTGTCACACACATTTGACTGCAGCCCACTCGCACCACCCCCAAACCCGTGTCGCGTTTCCAACATTTTTCCTAGGCTGGGCGACGGAATCATTCAGGCTTTCTTACTCCACCACGCAAAAGTACACCGTACCGTGTCCAACCTCTCAACCTATGCCTATCGCGCCGAGCCTTTCAGTGGCAGCCTTTCATGTAACAACACACTCACACAACACCCAGATCAGCTTCAAACACCTCAATTCTCAGTCACACAGATCTGAGCAGTTAGAGCAATCTGCACGACTTCGTTTCAGGCAAACTATTGATCGGTTTCAGCTAGCCGACAGCTGCGTTTCCAAATTTGCGTTTCCAGACTTGTCAAGGCGGAGACTCGTTCTTTACTTACGAACTATCTCACAAGGGAATAGGTCCCAAGTTAGATAGATCTGACGGCTTCCAATGGCGGCGGCCCGATTAGGTTTTGAAGAGTGCTGACACGTATTCTACTCCCTTCCGTTACAGCTACTTACTTTTTGTTCCCTTCTCTAGAGTTATTTCGCACCTGTCACAATGGATCCAGTTTCTACACTCCAGCCTTTCAGCACGAGCAAGAAGAGCTCTGTTTTTGAATCTGGTCAGATGTGGGATGTCGGAGCAATGGTGTTGGGAGGCGTTGTTCCAGGGGTTGTGCTTGTGAAGTGCGTGGCTGCTGTGGGAGCCATCGCGTTCTCGTCATGGTGCGCCGTGGTGGTGGTGGTTGCTGCCGGCCTCCAACAAATACACAGTAAGTCGATTTTGAGGGATGACTACTGTTGACACCCATGGGTATGCCGAAGCAATCCGTGCTGCGCATTTTTCGTGAATGCCTTTCTCGGTTTTTTATTTTATTTCAATTTCTTTTCTCTTCTCTTCCCTTTTCCCAGGTTTCGACGCTAACGGCTACGCTCAGCAAGAGTACTAGTCAATGCTCACACGATGTAGGTTTGCGCCGAATGGGCGTCCGCGAGATTTTCCAGGCTTCGCGAGATTAACGCCTTGTAGACTTCAGAGCTGAGGTGACACCAGTCAACTGCTGGTCAAGCTCGGGGGTGTTTCACCCATTTTTCCCAGCCTTTCACCTGTATAGTGGGTTCCACGTGGAACTGCGTTTAGTATTTGCTTAGGATATATCTGGTATGCGCTTGCCAGTCTGTATATGCCTTGTGTCTCAGTCTAAGATGCTAGCCTGTGCATAAATATTTTAGCCCCCAACCAAACCAACCAGCAGCCGCACCAACAGACAGACTACGACTGTAGTAATATGAAAATCGCTATCATCGCAGCCATTTCTAATATGAAAAACTGTTAATATTACAGTTCATTTCTAATATGAAAAGCCGTTATCATCGCAAATTAACGTACTGTAGCGCACTGCACCGTATCGCGAATTTTCCTCCACCCCACGCCCCTTCTCTCACCCCCACCCCCCACCCCTTGCACTCATATAGATTCCGCCTGCCTGAGCCTCCTATAATTCAGATTCCGCTTGACCCTTCTCAGACACTGTCCTACTGCTCCAGTCCTCCCTCTGCTCATTTCGCGTTCGCGGCAGGGTATAATGCATTCTCGTTCTTCGTCCTGTCCCTTGAGTCTCGCTGCTCGCGCACAAGCCCTGTGGGGCAAGCAACTTGAAATGGCCGCCATGGTAGCCGCACACTCTTCTTCCACAGTGAGAGCTCCGTGGTGGTTTCTTTTGCACCGAGCATTCCGTTCAACTGTGTTTCCGGAATCATTCCCCGTACTCACTGGTACCTTGCTGTTCAGACTGATCTCGACCAATATATACCGGGATCTCCGTATCCACCGGAATCTACGGTATCTCCCAACAGCGCAAACAACTCGACACGATGACAACTTCTTAGCTCCCTTACGGGCCCGTGAGGTCTTCTTTCATGTAACGTCGTGCAACGTCGTGCAACGTCGTGCACCTTCATGCACCTTCATGCACCTTCATCCATGCAGCATAACAGGACGGTCGCCATTTGAGAGCTCTCATTGGAGACTGACATTGGTCGCAAGCAACTTTTGAGCACCGAACTACGGCGCTGGAACCAACGATTACTAGACACTTGCGTTGACCATGAATGCATTATAAATCGCAGCGTGAAATCGCTTTCGCGGTTGGCTCCATCGGGTGAAGACTTTGAACCTCATTTTCGTTGCTTGCTGCTGAGTTTTAAAGTCGACACAGAAGTCACCTCGACTCAAGAGTTTCACTGTTGGCTTCATAGGGTGAAAACTTCGAACCTGGCCCTCTTTGCTTGATGTTTCCTCGCCTCCTCACTCGACTAATGTCACCATGGTCACCATTGTCATTGATGAGCGTTTCTGAGAATTCTAAAAATACATCCTCCTCATTCCACCATCGGCACCTCTATCATGTTGTCAACTTCAGTCAGCGTCTGGGTCACTGTCGAAAGCACATATCTGGGTCAGCGTCTGGGTTATCCACGTTCTTCTTTATGCAACTCTCCCGAGATCCCGTTTTTCATTGACTTGAATCTCAATGTTCTGTGCTTCAGTTTGAGCTTCAGCCTGTGCCCCAGTCTGTGCTTCTGTTTGCTCCCCCAGTCGACATGACTGAATTCCCCTCTTCACCCCTCCTCACCCGTCCCCATCAGGCTGTCAGTGAAGCTGGACGACCGAATGAGCCAAGCGCCAACGCTTCTGCTCAACCTCACCCTGGGAATGGCGGGGCTCTTCGCGAGCGCCATGTTACTGTGTTACATTCCCACCTGCTTCGCCTACCTCCACACGACCAGGGTGAACCTGCTGCTGCAGGTCATTGAAAGCAACGTGAGTCCGTTCATGCATTTTTGGTTTACAGGACGAGTTGACTCCGAATATAAGCATATTGTCTGCTTTGTCTGCCTCCACACGACCAGGGTGAACCTGCTGCTGCAGATCATCGCGAGGAACGTGAATCCATGCATGCATATTTTGTTTACCAGACGAGGTGACTCCAAATATAAGCATATTGTCTGCTTTGTCTGCCTCCACTCCACACGACCAGGGTGAACCTGCCGCTGCAGGTCATTGAGATCAACGTGAATCCATGCATGCATCTCGTTTTCACATGAGTTGCAATACCAATGGTATACTATTATTTGATTCCTTCTCCTTCTCCTACTGCCCCCTGCCACTCCCACTGCCCCCCCTGCTCATCCCTCCACAGTTCTTCACACTCGTGGTGCTAGCAACAGCCAGTGCGCGGGCCACCGCCATCACTGACTCGTACGGGCTCAACTGCAGCGGGTACGTGCTGCTGGGTGCTGCTGGGTGCTGCCTGTGTCTAGTAGAGGTATGGCGCAGCATGGTATAGCAGGTGCACACTGGTGGTTCTCGCACCAGCCAGTGTACGGGCTTAGCTGCAGCGGGTACGTGATGCTGTGGGTGCTGCTGGGTGCAGCTCGGTGCTGTTGGGTGCTACTGGATGCTGCCATGTCTAATGATGCTGATAGGTGTAGCACAGCAGGCCGACTAGCTGCCCCACACGCCCCACCTGCTGAATCCATTCGACCTGGGCTGTTCAGCCAGCCTATTCTCCTGCAAGCATCTCGCTCGGGACCACCACATATGACTTTTGAGGCGCCTCAAAAACTGAGACGACTTTTGAGGCGCCTCAAAAGCCAGCCTATTCTCCTGCAAGCATCTCGCCCGGACTGGGACCACCACATGCAATGACCTTATTCACATGCAATGACCTTATTCACATGCAATGACCTTATTCACATGCAATGACCTTATTCACATGCAATGACCTTATTCACATGCCCATTCTCATAGTGCTCTTTCCCAGCCTGTCCTTAAGTGTATGGCCTCTTCCATTGCCCCCCCTTCTGATGCTGCCCAGAACCATGCTTACCTCTCTCACGCTGCTCCTTCCCATGGCCCCCCGTCCCACTGCTTCTTCCCATGCCCCCCCGTCCCACTGCTCCTTCCCATGCCCCCCCGTCCCACTGCTCCTTCCCATGCCCCCCCGTCCCACTGCTCCTTCCCATGCCCCCCCGTCCCACTGCTCCTTCCCATGCCCCCCCGTCCCACTGCTCCTTCCCATGCCCCCCCGTCCCACTGCTCCTTCCCATGCCCCCCCGTCCCACTGCTCCTTCCCATGCCCCCCCGTCCCACTGCTCCTTCCCATGCCCCCCCGTCCCACTGCTCCTTCCCATGCCCCCCCGTCCCACTGCTCCTTCCCATGCCCCCCCGTCCCACTGCTCCTTCCCATGCCCCCCCGTCCCACTGCTCCTTCCCATGCCCCCCCGTCCCACTGCTCCTTCCCATGCCCCCCCGTCCCACTGCTCCTTCCCATGCCCCCCCGTCCCACTGCTCCTTCCCATGCCCCCCCGTCCCACTGCTCCTTCCCATGCCCCCCCGTCCCACTGCTCCTTCCCATGCCCCCCCGTCCCACTGCTCCTTCCCATGCCCCCCCGTCCCACTGCTCCTTCCCATGCCCCCCCGTCCCACTGCTCCTTCCCATGCCCCCCCGTCCCACTGCTCCTTCCCATGCCCCCCCGTCCCACTGCTCCTTCCCATGCCCCCCCGTCCCACTGCTCCTTCCCATGCCCCCCCGTCCCACTGCTCCTTCCCATGCCCCCCCGTCCCACTGCTCCTTCCCATGCCCCCCCGTCCCACTGCTCCTTCCCATGCCCCCCCGTCCCACTGCTCCTTCCCATGCCCCCCCGTCCCACTGCTCCTTCCCATGCCCCCCCGTCCCACTGCTCCTTCCCATGCCCCCCCGTCCCACTGCTCCTTCCCATGCCCCCCCGTCCCACTGCTCCTTCCCATGCCCCCCCGTCCCACTGCTCCTTCCCATGCCCCCCCGTCCCACTGCTCCTTCCCATGCCCCCCCGTCCCACTGCTCCTTCCCATGCCCCCCCGTCCCACTGCTCCTTCCCATGCCCCCCCGTCCCACTGCTCCTTCCCATGCCCCCCCGTCCCACTGCTCCTTCCCATGCCCCCCCGTCCCACTGCTCCTTCCCATGCCCCCCCGTCCCACTGCTCCTTCCCATGCCCCCCCGTCCCACTGCTCCTTCCCATGCCCCCCCGTCCCACTGCTCCTTCCCATGCCCCCCCGTCCCACTGCTCCTTCCCATGCCCCCCCGTCCCACTGCTCCTTCCCATGCCCCCCCGTCCCACTGCTCCTTCCCATGCCCCCCCGTCCCACTGCTCCTTCCCATGCCCCCCCGTCCCACTGCTCCTTCCCATGCCCCCCCGTCCCACTGCTCCTTCCCATGCCCCCCCGTCCCACTGCTCCTTCCCATGCCCCCCCGTCCCACTGCTCCTTCCCATGCCCCCCCGTCCCACTGCTCCTTCCCATGCCCCCCCGTCCCACTGCTCCTTCCCATGCCTCCCCGTCCCACTGCTCCTTCCCATGGCCCCCCGTCCCACTGCTCCTTCCCATGCCCCCCCGTCCCACTGCTCCTTCCCATGGCCCCCCGTCCCACTGCTCCTTCCCATGCCCCCCCGTCCCACTGCTCCTTCCCATGCCCCCCCGTCCCACTGCTCCTTCCCATGCCCCCCCGTCCCACTGCTCCTTCCCATGCCCCCCCGTCCCACTGCTCCTTCCCATGCCCCCCCGTCCCACTGCTCCTTCCCATGCCCCCCCGTCCCACTGCTCCTTCCCATGACACCCCGTCCCACTGCTCCTTCCCATGCCCCCCCGTCCCACTGCTCCTTCCCATGCCCCCCCGTCCCACTGCTCCTTCCCATGCCCCCCCGTCCCACTGCTCCTTCCCATGCCGCCCTGTCCCACTGCTCCTTCCCATGCCCCCCCGTCCCACTGCTCCTTCCCATGCCCCCCCGTCCCACTGCTCCTTCCCATGCCGCCCCGTCCCACTGCTCCTTCCCATGCCCCCCCGTCCCACTGCTCCTTCCCATGCCCCCCCGTCCCACTGCTCCTTCCCATGCCCCCCCGTCCCACTGCTCCTTCCCATGCCCCCCCGTCCCACTGCTCCTTCCCATGCCCCCCCGTCCCACTGCTCCTTCCCATGCCCCCCCGTCCCACTGCTCCTTCCCATGCCCCCCCGTCCCACTGCTCCTTCCCATGCCCCCCCGTCCCACTGCTCCTTCCCATGCCCCCCCGTCCCACTGCTCCTTCCCATGCCCCCCCGTCCCACTGCTCCTTCCCATGCCCCCCCGTCCCACTGCTCCTTCCCATGCCCCCCCGTCCCACTGCTCCTTCCCATGCCGCCCGGTCCCACTGCTCCTTCCCATGCCCCCCCGTCCCACTGCTCCTTCCCACGCCCCCCCGTCCCACTGCTCCTTCCCATGCCCCCCCGTCCCACTGCTCCTTCCCATGCCCCCCCGTCCCACTGCTCCTTCCCATGCCACCCCGTCCCACTGCTCCTTCCCATGCCCCCCCGTCCCACTGCTCCTTCCCATGCCCCCCCGTCCCACTGCTCCTTCCCATGCCCCCCCGTCCCACTGCTCCTTCCCATGCCCCCCCGTCCCACTGCTCCTTCCCATGCCTCCCCGTCCCACTGCTCCTTCCCATGCCCCCCCGTCCCACTGCTCCTTCCCATGCCCCCCCGTCCCACTGCTCCTTCCCATGCCCCCCCGTCCCACTGCTCCTTCCCATGCCCCCCCGTCCCACTGCTCCTTCCCATGCCCCCCCGTCCCACTGCTCCTTCCCATGCCCCCCCGTCCCACTGCTCCTTCCCATGCCCCCCCGTCCCACTGCTCCTTCCCATGCCGCCCTGTCCCACTGCTCCTTCCCATGCCGCCCTGTCCCACTGCTCCTTCCCATGCCCCCCCGTCCCACTGCTCCTTCCCATGCCCCCCCGTCCCACTGCTCCTTCCCATGCCCCCCCGTCCCACTGCTCCTTCCCATGCCCCCCCGTCCCACTGCTCCTTCCCATGCCTCCCCGTCCCACTGCTCCTTCCCATGCCCCCCCGTCCCACTGCTCCTTCCCATGCCCCCCCGTCCCACTGCTCCTTCCCATGCCCCCCCGTCCCACTGCTCCTTCCCATGCCCCCCCGTCCCACTGCTCCTTCCCATGCCCCCCCGTCCCACTGCTCCTTCCCATGCCCCCCCGTCCCACTGCTCCTTCCCATGCCCCCCCGTCCCACTGCTCCTTCCCATGCCCCCCCGTCCCACTGCTCCTTCCCATGCCCCCCCGTCCCACTGCTCCTTCCCATGCCTCCCCGTCCCACTGCTCCTTCCCATGCCCCCCCGTCCCACTGCTCCTTCCCATGCCCCCCCGTCCCACTGCTCCTTCCCATGCCCCCCCGTCCCACTGCTCCTTCCCATGCCCCCCCGTCCCACTGCTCCTTCCCATGCCCCCCCGTCCCACTGCTCCTTCCCATGCCCCCCCGTCCCACTGCTCCTTCCCATGCCGCCCTGTCCAACTGCTCCTTCCCATGCCCCCCCGTCCCACTGCTCCTTCCCATGCCCCCCCGTCCCACTGCTCCTTCCCATGCCGCCCTTTCCAACTGCTCCTTCCCATGCCCCCCCGTCCCACTGCTCCTTCCCATGCCCCCCCGTCCCACTGCTCCTTCCCATGCCCCCCCGTCCCACTGCTCCTTCCCATGCCCCCCCGTCCCACTGCTCCTTCCCATGCCCCCCCGTCCCACTGCTCCTTCCCATGCCCCCCCGTCCCACTGCTCCTTCCCATGCCCCCCCGTCCCACTGCTCCTTCCCATGCCCCCCCGTCCCACTGCTCCTTCCCATGCCCCCCCGTCCCACTGCTCCTTCCCATGCCCCCCCGTCCCACTGCTCCTTCCCATGCCGCCCGGTCCCACTGCTCCTTCCCATGCCCCCCCGTCCCACTGCTCCTTCCCACGCCCCCCCGTCCCACTGCTCCTTCCCATGCCCCCCCGTCCCACTGCTCCTTCCCATGCCCCCCCGTCCCACTGCTCCTTCCCATGCCCCCCCGTCCCACTGCTCCTTCCCATGCCCCCCCGTCCCACTGCTCCTTCCCATGCCCCCCCGTCCCACTGCTCCTTCCCATGCCCCCCCGTCCCACTGCTCCTTCCCATGCCCCCCCGTCCCACTGCTCCTTCCCATGCCTCCCCGTCCCACTGCTCCTTCCCATGCCCCCCCGTCCCACTGCTCCTTCCCATGCCCCCCCGTCCCACTGCTCCTTCCCATGCCCCCCCGTCCCACTGCTCCTTCCCATGCCTCCCCGTCCCACTGCTCCTTCCCATGCCCCCCCGTCCCACTGCTCCTTCCCATGCCCCCCCGTCCCACTGCTCCTTCCCATGCCCCCCCGTCCCACTGCTCCTTCCCATGCCCCCCCGTCCCACTGCTCCTTCCCATGCCCCCCCGTCCCACTGCTCCTTCCCATGCCCCCCCGTCCCACTGCTCCTTCCCATGCCCCCCCGTCCCACTGCTCCTTCCCATGCCGCCCTGTCCCACTGCTCCTTCCCATGCCGCCCTGTCCCACTGCTCCTTCCCATGCCCCCCCGTCCCACTGCTCCTTCCCATGCCCCCCCGTCCCACTGCTCCTTCCCATGCCCCCCCGTCCCACTGCTCCTTCCCATGCCCCCCCGTCCCACTGCTCCTTCCCATGCCTCCCCGTCCCACTGCTCCTTCCCATGCCCCCCCGTCCCACTGCTCCTTCCCATGCCCCCCCGTCCCACTGCTCCTTCCCATGCCCCCCCGTCCCACTGCTCCTTCCCATGCCCCCCCGTCCCACTGCTCCTTCCCATGCCCCCCCGTCCCACTGCTCCTTCCCATGCCCCCCCGTCCCACTGCTCCTTCCCATGCCCCCCCGTCCCACTGCTCCTTCCCATGCCCCCCCGTCCCACTGCTCCTTCCCATGCCCCCCCGTCCCACTGCTCCTTCCCATGCCTCCCCGTCCCACTGCTCCTTCCCATGCCCCCCCGTCCCACTGCTCCTTCCCATGCCCCCCCGTCCCACTGCTCCTTCCCATGCCCCCCCGTCCCACTGCTCCTTCCCATGCCCCCCCGTCCCACTGCTCCTTCCCATGCCCCCCCGTCCCACTGCTCCTTCCCATGCCCCCCCGTCCCACTGCTCCTTCCCATGCCGCCCTGTCCAACTGCTCCTTCCCATGCCCCCCCGTCCCACTGCTCCTTCCCATGCCCCCCCGTCCCACTGCTCCTTCCCATGCCCCCCCGTCCCACTGCTCCTTCCCATGCCCCCCCGTCCCACTGCTCCTTCCCATGCCCCCCCGTCCCACTGCTCCTTCCCATGCCTCCCCGTCCCACTGCTCCTTCCCATGCCCCCCCGTCCCACTGCTCCTTCCCATGCCCCCCCGTCCCACTGCTCCTTCCCATGCCCCCCCGTCCCACTGCTCCTTCCCATGCCCCCCCGTCCCACTGCTCCTTCCCATGCCCCCCCGTCCCACTGCTCCTTCCCATGCCCCCCCGTCCCACTGCTCCTTCCCATGCCCCCCCGTCCCACTGCTCCTTCCCATGCCCCCCCGTCCCACTGCTCCTTCCCATGCCGCCCTGTCCCACTGCTCCTTCCCATGCCCCCCCGTCCCACTGCTCCTTCCCATGCCCCCCCGTCCCACTGCTCCTTCCCATGCCCCCCCGTCCCACTGCTCCTTCCCATGCCCCCCCGTCCCACTGCTCCTTCCCATGCCCCCCCGTCCCACTGCTCCTTCCCATGCCCCCCCGTCCCACTGCTCCTTCCCATGCCCCCCCGTCCCACTGCTCCTTCCCATGCCCCCCCGTCCCACTGCTCCTTCCCATGCCCCCCCGTCCCACTGCTCCATCCCATGCCTCCCCGTCCCACTGCTCCTTCCCATGCCTCCCCGTCCCACTGCTCCTTCCCATGCCCCCCCGTCCCACTGCTCCTTCCCATGCCCCCCCGTCCCACTGCTCCTTCCCATGCCCCCCCGTCCCACTGCTCCTTCCCATGCCCCCCCGTCCCACTGCTCCTTCCCATGCCCCCCACTGCTCCTTCCCATGCCCCCCCGTCCCACTGCTCCTTCCCATGCCTCCCCGTCCCACTGCTCCTTCCCATGCCCCCCCGTCCCACTGCTCCTTCCCATGCCCCCCCGTCCCACTGCTCCTTCCCATGCCCCCCCGTCCCACTGCTCCTTCCCATGCCCCCCCGTCCCACTGCTCCTTCCCATGCCCCCCCGTCCCACTGCTCCTTCCCATGCCCCCCCGTCCCACTGCTCCTTCCCATGCCCCCCCGTCCCACTGCTCCTTCCCATGCCCCCCCGTCCCACTGCTCCTTCCCATGCCCCCCCGTCCCACTGCTCCTTCCCATGCCCCCCCGTCCCACTGCTCCTTCCCATGCCCCCCCGTCCCACTGCTCCTTCCCATGCCCCCCCGTCCCACTGCTCCTTCCCATGCCCCCCCGTCCCACTGCTCCTTCCCATGCCCCCCCGTCCCACTGCTCCTTCCCATGCCCCCCCGTCCCACTGCTCCTTCCCATGCCCCCCCGTCCCACTGCTCCTTCCCATGCCCCCCCGTCCCACTGCTCCTTCCCATGCCCCCCCGTCCCACTGCTCCTTCCCATGCCCCCCCGTCCCACTGCTCCTTCCCATGCCCCCCCGTCCCACTGCTCCTTCCCATGCCCCCCCGTCCCACTGCTCCTTCCCATGCCCCCCCGTCCCACTGCTCCTTCCCATGCCGCCCCGTCCCACTGCTCCTTCCCATGCCGCCCCGTCCCACTGCTCCTTCCCGTGCCCCCCCGTCCCACTGCTCCTTCCCGTGCCCCCCCGTCCCACTGCTCCTTCCCGTGCCCCCCCGTCCCACTGCTCCTTCCCGTGCCCCCCCGTCCCACTGCTCCTTCCCGTGCCCCCCCGTCCCACTGCTCCTTCCCGTGCCCCCCCGTCCCACTGCTCCTTCCCATGCCTCCCCGTCCCACTGCTCCTTCCCATGCCCCCCCGTCCCACTGCTCCTTCCCATGCCCCCCCGTCCCACTGCTCCTTCCCATGCCCCCCCGTCCCACTGCTCCTTCCCATGCCTCCCCGTCCCACTGCTCCTTCCCATGCCCCCCCGTCCCACTGCTCCTTCCCATGCCCCCTCGTCCCACTGCTCCTTCCCATGCCCCCCCGTCCCACTGCTCCTTCCCATGCCCCCCCGTCCCACTGCTCCTTCCCATGCCCCCCCGTCCCACTGCTCCTTCCCATGCCCCCCCGTCCCACTGCTCCTTCCCATGCCCCCCCGTCCCACTGCTCCTTCCCATGCCCCCCGTCCCACTGCTCCTTCCCATGCCCCCCCGTCCCACTGCTCCTTCCCATGCCCCCCCGTCCCACTGCTCCTTCCCATGCCCCCCCGTCCCACTGCTCCTTCCCATGCCCCCCCGTCCCACTGCTCCTTCCCATGCCCCCCCGTCCCACTGCTCCTTCCCATGCCCCCCCGTCCCACTGCTCCTTCCCATGCCGCCCCGTCCCACTGCTCCTTCCCATGCCCCCCCGTCCCACTGCTCCTTCCCATGCCCCCCCGTCCCACTGCTCCTTCCCATGCCCCCCCGTCCCACTGCTCCTTCCCATGCCCCCCCGTCCCACTGCTCCTTCCCATGCCCCCCCGTCCCACTGCTCCTTCCCATGCCCCCCCGTCCCACTGCTCCTTCCCATGCCCCCCCGTCCCACTGCTCCTTCCCATGCCCCCCCGTCCCACTGCTCCTTCCCATGCCCCCCCGTCCCACTGCTCCTTCCCATGCCCCCCCGTCCCACTGCTCCTTCCCATGCCCCCCCGTCCCACTGCTCCTTCCCATGCCGCCCTGTCCCAGGCCGCTCTTTCCCATGCCGCCCCTTCCCATGCCACACCTGGCGACGGCAACCCTTGGCACGGAGCCATGGTCCTCGGGTCGGCGAAAATTGTCTTCTTGCCTGATGGGGCGCGCCAGTGACCTGCTGGCGTTGCTCACGGCGCTCTCCTTTGGGGCTGCCTGCTGGTGAGTTTTACTATCTACACATCACGGTAATGCGCAGCTCTGCTGGTGAGTGAGGTGCTCGGTGTAACGCCCAGCACATCACAGCACAGCACCGCACAGCAGCACAGCACAGCCCCGCACAGCAGCACAGCACACCAATGCACCGCACCGCACAGCACAGTACAGCACCGCACCGCACAGCACAGCACAGCACAGCACCGCACAGCACAGCACAGCACCGTACAGCACAGCATGTGTCTCGCCTGATGGGTCATGCCAACCACCGACCTGCTGGCGATGCTCACAGCGCTCTCCTTTGGGGCTGCCTGCTGGTAAGTGAGACGCGTCAACTCTCAAGTGAATGCAATGCGTGCGTGTTGTGTTGTGTTGTGTTGTGTTGTGTTGTGTTGTGTTGTGTTGTGTTGTGTTGTGTTGTGTTGTGTTGTGTTGTGTTGTGTTGTGTTGTGGTGTGTGTGTATCCCAGTGAGTTGTACCCTCTATAACTGCGCCATCTGCCTCTACAAGCTGCATGCTGGTGAGAAAATAATTTTCTGAGACACCTTATAGAAGAAAATCCCTATCCCTCTCCACCCCAGTGACTCCTTCGCCCCTCCCCATGCCATCACCAAGTGTTTTTGTCAAGTTTCTTGGCCTGCACCAGTTGTACCTGCTTCTGTTTCCGTGACTTGCCCCCTCTTTTCCCTATTCCGGTGCCTCTTTCCTTCTCCCCTCCGAATGCCACCACTGCATGTACCCTCAGGTATTTCGCAATATGCCTGTACAGGCTGCGCCCTCCACCAGTTGTATCTGCCTTGGGGAAGAAAAGCGTTAGAAGGGTTGTCACAAGAGATAATGGAAAGAGCTCGTTTGGGAATTCTGAAAGGGCGACTTCTGAGAGTGAAGGAAGAAAAAGCGTTCAGTCGGTGTTCACTGGAGACAGTGGGGAGAAGTCAGTTGTAAGCGTTGAGCGGACGTCCGTTGAAACTGATAAAAGAGGAGGGGCTCAAACAGTGTTCATTGGCGATGTGAGGCATTTGATTGTACGCGTTGATAGGGTGGCACCAGGAAACACTGAGACGCCATCAGATGAAGATTTTGGGGCAGCAGGTGTGATTGCTGAAAGGGAAGCAACTGGGGATATTGAAGCGGCAGCAGTTGGGGATATTGAAGTGGCAGCAATTGGGGATATAAGCGCAGCAGGAGGTGAGGATAGTGAAAGGGCAGCAGTTGGGGATATCGATATAGCAGCAGGTGTGGATGTTGTAATGTTAGCGATTGCGGATAGTGAAATAGCAGCAGTTAGTGATGTTGAAGCGGCAGCAGCTGAGGATATTGAAAAGGGAGCAGGTGCTGTTGTTGAAAGGGCAGCAGTGGGGGAGATTGAAATTGCAGCAGAAGTTGGGAATATTGAAAGGGTATTAGCTGGGGATATTGAGAGGATAACAGTTGGGGATACTCTAAGGACAGCGGATGGGGATGTTGGGCTGAGAAAAAGCCCTTAGGATCTTTTCAAGGCTAAGACTTTGGGTAGAGATGTTGTAATTGCGGAAGCGTATAGTGTTGAACCACCTTGCACTAGTGTGTGAGAGAAAGAGATTGATTAAAGCAAAGAGATACAAGGATATATATATATATATGATTACAAGGAATACGAAGAGGTGCAACTAACTGTTTTGCTGTTGCGGTTCGATACAGTAACGGCTCGGCAACTGCTCAATACTGAGTCAGTTGTTTGTCCTTGCTGTCGCGCTGTATTTTCGTCGAGTCAAAGGTCGCTGACCTTTGACCTTCGCGTAACCTCCAGCTGTTACATTTTGTTTTCCTCCTTGGTTGACTCGCTTGTTGCTTCAATGTAGTCTGCTTCGTTCGTGTTATTACTTCGATACTTCAGAGGCGCCAACTATGTGTTTCCAACACTCCCCTTCGCTTCTGGAGTGTCATCACCTTTGTTGCTGGTGACGTGGCCTTGTCCATTCAGCAATATGCACTACTCGAACTTCTGCTTTCCAAGTTTCTTGGTCAAGTAATCTACTGCCATCTCGGACGTGGGACAGTAGGATAGCTCGAGTGTTCCTTTCTCGATCTCGTCCTTCACGAAGAAGTACCGAAGAGCGATGTGCTTCGTTCGATTCGCGAACCCGTTCTTGTTCGCTATGCGAATTGCGGATTGATTGTCGCAGAAGAGGGAGAAGCTGGGTAACTGAGCCATCTTTGCTTCTTCCAGCAGTTCGCGGAGGTATAATCCTTCCTTGGTGGCTGAGCAGAGTGCGATGTATTCTGCTTCAGCTGAGGAGAGAGCGATTAGCTCTTGCTTGTTCGACTGCCATGAAATTGGGCCGATAGGTTCGAGTCGGTAGATGTAGCCAGTGTGAGATCGCATGTTGTCAGAGTCTCCGGCGTGATCGGCGTCGACGTAGCCGATTAATTTAGGTGTCGCGGTTCCAGTTTTGTGGTAGGTTAGGCTGACTGTCGGGGTGCTGACGAAGTAGTGTAGAGCGCGATCGAGTTCCGCCATGTGCGCGGCTGTGGGCTTCTTGAGGTAGGTGGCGAGCTGGCTCGCTGAGTATGATAGGTCTGGTTGGCAGGTGACGGTTGCGAAGAGGAGGCAGCCTACCTTTCGTTGGTAGTCGCATATGCCGACGAATTTGAGTGGCGCGGAGACTTCCTTGCGGCTTCCGTCGGTGTAGCGATATGGTGTGGTAATGGCGCTGCGGATTAATTCGAAGCGTTTGGCGATGGTGTCGGCGTATTTCGCGGCACTGAGGTAGATCGCGTTTTCCCCGTCTTGTATGTTGAGTCCTAGGTACTATGTTACGGTAGACGAGACGGTGAGCGTGAGGTCCCGTTGTAGCTCCCCTTCGAACCAGATCGTGATGTCGTCGGTAGAGCCGGTGTAAAGCAGGTCGTCCACATAGACTATGAGTAAGATGTAGTCGGTACCCTTCGTGAGACGATACATCCCTTGGTCGTGCGGGAGTTGCCGAAATCCGATGCGAATCAATCGAGCGTGCAGATATTGTTGCCACATCCTCGGGGCCTGTTCGATCCCGTACAGGGATATTAGTAGTTGACAGACTTGGTTAGGGTCTGCATTAGACCCATGTGGTTGTTTGACGAAGATTTCAGCGTCGACAGGGGCGTAGAGGAAGGCGTTGGCAACGTCGATTTGGCGGAGTTTCCTCCGCTTCATGGCGACTATCGCGATGAGGATTCGGAGAGAGGTATGTCTGAAAACTGGTGCGAATGTTTCGGTGAAGTCTTGTCCGTGCTCTTGGTCGAAGCCGCGCACGACCCAGCGTGCCTTGAATTTGTCTATCGTTCCGTCAGCTTTCGTTTTCACGCGGAAACCCCATTTTCCCGTGAGAATTGTCTTGTTGCGTGCCACTCCGATAGGCACGACTTTCCATGTGTTGCGTTCTTGCAGCGCCTTTTATTCTCTGTCCATGGCTTCGCGCCATTTTTCCCTGTGGTCCCCCCCCAGAGCCTGCTGAATAGTGGCAGGCTCTTTAGGTGGTGCCGCTCCGTGGACAGCGGTGACGAGTCCTAGTATCTGCAGTCCACTCTGTGTGTAGCGGGGGAGAGTTGCGTCCTTGGGATAGGCTGATTCATCTCCCGCTTCTAGATCGGGTAGGAAGTTGGGGCCGGTTCTTTCTGATACATTTGTGTTGACTGATTGGGGTGTGATGTAACCATTGTCGGCGAAGTCGTAGTAGACTTCGGCGTTGACACTTTCGCGAGGGTTTTCGTCATGCATCGGGATGGGCACGGAGCAGTATGGAAGTGGTCCTGCTTCCTCGGATGCGCCGTCCACGTTTTGCTCGTCCCATTCAGCTTCGTTAGCTGGTGTGGCGAAGGCTCGGTTGCCACGAAAGCCGCCCGTGAGGTCTCGATCTGCTGCCAGGTTGTCCAGGTACGTTTGAAGGGAGAGTCGTTCGTAGAAAATGACATCAGGTGCTGCTACTGTTTCCTTCGAGTGGACGTCGAAAATCTTCCATGCGTTGTAATGTTTTTTTATGCCCATGTGTAGCCCCCACTGTGCGCGTTGTGAAAATCTTCCGGCCCCCGTCTGACTGGAACCTTTTTAGCTTCACTCCCGATTCTCGTTCTGCCACAGGTAGCCAGGCGACGAAGGCTTCAAAGGCCATGTCGCGACTCGGAAGGTTGAGATGCCATACGTATCGGGTAGCGGCGTCGATAAAAGTGATGACATAGTTGTATGCTCCGTGTCCGTGTTCGCGGGCATACAAGATGTCGCTGTAGACTTTCTCCAATGTTGTGTAATTTGGCGCACTCGGATTGTGGTGAGAGACAAATGGTTGATGAGGTAAGTCGGATTCGGGGCAGGTAAAACATGTACCTCGGACTTGTTGAAATTCTCTGCCATCGGTTAGAAATAGGGAGTCTTTGTCGAGTACTCCTGCCCTGATCGTGTTGTTTAACGTTGGGTTGCTTGGGTGACCCAATCTTTCATGCCACAGTGATTCGCTCGCGCGGTGTCCTGGTGAGCGTCTGTATAGGTCGGAGTTGGAATAGAAGCCCGTGGTGAAGTTGGCGCTTCTGTGGACTTCTCGTGGAGTGGGAGTCAACTGCTGAGCGGAAGTCGGTGGCATGTCGTCGATGGGGACCGGTGTTGTTGAAGGACCAGTGAGTGGTGTCGTAGTTGTTGTTGCTGCTACTGATGTTGTCTCTGCTGCTGCCGATGTTGTCTCTGCTGCTGCCGATGTTGTCCCTGCTGCTGCCGATGTTGTCTCTACTTGCCGAATTGTTGCTAACGCTCTTGTTCTTTGTGCTTCAGGTGTGGTGTGTGAGTACCAAAATCCTTCAGGACTGAAGTCGGGGTCGAGATCTGGCGGATGTGTCCAAGCGGTGAAGTTGACGATGGCGTCGCTGTCGGCGGTGCCTTGGTCTGGAACGAAGTCAAGAACGAAGACATTGTTCTTCAAGACTGCCTTGTCGATGTAGAGTCCACCTTTCCCGTGGTACAGTTTGAACTCCTGAGTGGTGCTGTCTGCTTCGAGAGGAATTCCCTTCGCCATTAGTTGACTGACGCTGAGTAAGTTATAACCGAGTCCTTCTGCGATTAAAAACTTCGACATTTGCATAATAACGTTGGTTTCTCGATATTGAAGTTGAACTATCCCCTGTCGTCGTGTGTGCAAGTTCTGGTTGTTGGCGACGGTGATTACGACTTCGCGCTGAAGTTGGTATTCCCGTTGAACGAAGCGACCCGAGGAGCACATGTGCTGTCCGCAGCAGCTGTCCAAGAACTAGGTGTTTTTCCCGGACGGCTCGCTCTGGGCGATGGCTGCATACGTCGGGTTGGGCTCCAATGATTCGCGGCGAGGAGTGCTCTCGTCGAGTTGTTTTTCTGGTGAGTAGTATGGTGGTGATCCGGTGATGCAGGAGTCTGTTGTTCTTGTCATGCAGCTCACGATGTTTCTTGTACCTTGTGTAGGTTTTGTCGCCGATGTCGTTGAAGACTGTACTTGATTGGTGGGATGCGCCTGTGTAGAAGCCACTTGACTGCTTGAGGGGCAAAGTTGACGTTGCGGCGGCGTTGACTGCCGCTGATTCGGGCAGTGAGTGCGAGGGTGTCCTGATGTCTTGCAGAGATGGCAGAACGGCGGTACGTATTGTTGAGCATGATGTTTGTTTTGTCGATTTTTGTTGTTGTTGTAACGTCGTTGAGTGTTAAACGCGAACTCAGTTGCTGACGCTCTTTTCTTGTGTCGTTCTTCATGTAGGTCCATGTCCTGCTGCTCAGCATGTATCTCAGCGCAGAGGGCTGCTTCGGAGATCTTTCCGTGGGCTCGGAGAATGGCTCGAGTGGAGCGCCAATGAGGACCGAGGCCGGTGATGACGACTGTAACAAAGGCTTCTTCAGATATCGATCCATCGCATCGAATGAGTCTATCGCGTAGTCCGCGACAACAACTGATATAAACCATTCCCTTTTCGCCTAGTTTCATTTCCACTATTGTCAGTTGTGCCATAAGACGACTCTGATTAACGCTGTCTGTTGCCTGATACAGATTCTTCAGGTGGTTGTACACGAGCTCGGCGGAGTTGCCGTACCCACGCTAGGACCGGATGTTCTGCTGCTCGTTTGGCGTTATATTTCGTAGAAGTATCGTGTACGCCATCAGCGACGGATATGTATACTGCTGCTTGTCATACCGTATTACCCCGGATATAGGCGCATATGCGCCTATAATAAAATCATTTTTTTTAGGGGTGGCGCTTGTAATTGAATAACGGCCATAAGCGCCGGCGCTTATATCATGGCAAAAATGAATTTGTTATTTTTATGTACCAAATCGAAGCCCGCAATAAGGCGAACACAATTGAGTAACGTGCGTGTGGGATAATGCATGTAATCCCGCCGAAAACTGCTGCGCTTCGATTCCCGACCGCACAAATCCCGTCCAGGAGCAGCGCACCTGCCAGCGCTGACGTGAAAGTTGCCTTGCGGCCCAATCAGGCTTTCATGCGCTGGCAGGCA